TGTAATAGGGTTCTAGTGCATGAACATTGAGTGGTTTTGTTGAGGTTTAGGGGTGCTGGGACCCCAAAATCACAACAGTTGGGTACTGTCTGAATGAATTTGACCCAAACCTTTTTTCAGCCAAAGACAGGGTTATTAGAACATTGATGGGTGTGTGTGTGTGTGTGTGTGTGTGTGTGTGCGTGTGTGAAATTTAAAGAATTCTGCCATACTGGCCACACTTAAGGAATCTAAGCATTTGTATCGCTAATGCAAGGAGGCCAGATCTTAAGAATCTGAGCACCTTAATAGAGGCCAGATGGACCTTATATACAGAAAGATGATGGGAGGGATCTAAGAATGGCCAAGTAGTCTGGGGTGACTGTGAGGTAACAGAATGCCAGGGACCTGAACCTTGTGGCCAAGGGAGAATGGAGCCTAGACAGGATTAAAGGTGAGGGAGTGGGTCATAGGGAGGTAATACAATGGAGGGCTAGGTTAGGTTTAGGGTAACAGAGAATTGGGAGCTTGGGTGATAATGAAAGGTCAGTTGATAGGATTATAGCCTCAGAGATCTGGCCATATGGGAAAGTCCCAGTCTTTTCCTTTTTGAGGTCCAGATCCTAAAGACATGGTCTTTTCCTTTTAGGAGTTCAGATCCCATGCCCATCAGTTTTGATGGTGTTTACTCACATGGATAGGCTGAGGAGCTTGCATCTGGGAAAGTCCTGGTGATGTGAAATGGAAGTGTGTTGGAGAAAATGTGGAGTATGCATAGACATTCTGTAATTGGTTTCAGTCTGCTAACTACATGGTTAGTAGAAGCATTTTTGGACTGGCTGTAAATCAGAGCTAGGGACATCTTCAAAAAGTCAACCTCAGCCTAGTCTCCTTGGCCATTTTCCCTTCAGCTGTGCTTTTCTACTGCTTTGTTAACAGCATCAGATGAGAGATAACAAGGCAAATGGAGAGGCCCTAAGTGACCCTGCAGATATGTGTCTAAATTCTTTGCTTGCCTCATTGTTCCCCCTTCCATTTTAGATAAGGGAAGAACAGCATCCTGTTATCCCTCAATCTGGGTTTTTGTAGTTAGCTCAGCATGCTCTAAGGGGCAAGGAATGACCTTCAGGAATGAGCTTTGAGACAAAACCAGGATCACTGAGATAAGGATTCATCCAGCAGTTATACATCTGGATATGAGCATGGTGGGGGGACCCAAAGTTATGAAGTAAGTGTACTAAGAGTGAGCCTACTCACCTCAGAGGAGGAGGTGGGGTAGGGAAGAATGTGTCCCTAAGATTTTGGGAAATGTTTGTACCATTGTTCTTGTTGTATCTTAGAAGTAAATATCCCTTTGTAAAAGCTAATTATTAAGTGGTTAAATGTAATTGGGGTGCTTATTCCTAGTATCTAACAATAGGGTGGACATAGCTGTTGGGAGCTTAAGCCAATGGTAGTAGAGGAGAAACATTTCCAAACCTCTCAGAATACCTTAGAATTCTGAAGGGGAAAGTAGCCTGCCTGTCTGTGGAATGGTGAGCCAGAGCAAACTGGGTACAGATATAAAACCTAAATTCCTTAGGCTGGCATTCAAATCCCTAACCTATCGCCAGTTTATATGCCTAGTTTCATCTATTTCCCTTTCCTCCTCAGATGAACCCTAGACTCTAATTAAAATGACCTACTCACCATTTCCCTTTTACTTACTTAACTCTAAGTTAGGGCCTAACAAATTCCACATTTTCTACAAAGCCTTAAGAGTCACCTCGAGCAGAATTGATCTTTACCTCCAAGGAATTCTTATAGTATTTTATTTATACCACTTAGGTGACACAACTAGATGATAAGATCAGATCGAATCTACTTTATCTTTCCTGACAGATTATAAACTCCTCCAGGGCAGAGACTGTCAGTTTCTTATATCTCTATGGATCCTTCACAATGCCTGGCATAGCAGGCACTCCAGTAAATATTTAAATAAATGAATGAATGACTTTTGCTGCCTCAAAAAAAATTTTAAGCTTGTTTTGTCCCAATATACAGTAAGGTTTTTGTTTGCCTTTCCTGGACTTTCCATTTAAGCTCCCTCCCTTCTGAAAACTGAGAAATTTCTTCTAGTATAAATCCTTAAAAAGTGGGAAGAATGGGAGTATGCTGCTTTATTTGGTTCTTTAATTTGTGAAGACTGGCTTTAGTTCAAGCAGGATTTAAGGGCCAGAGCTGATTGAGAGGTACATTTGTTTACTGTGGGTAGTGGTTGCCTGAGGCTATCATAGGGCTGTTTTTTCTCTGAGGTAGAGCCGAGATTGTCTTTCAAATATAAAGTACCGCAGAACTGGGCATCCAGATTCTCTTTTCAAAGTTTATTGACGAGGAAAGGGGCTATTACTGATTGTAAGTACTTACTGAATAGTGTATCTTTTTTTTAAACTTTTACAAGTGCATTATATATTTAATTTGAAATTAAATCATGGACCAACAAACATTGTCAAGAAAGGACCTCTTGACCCTACTAACTTCAAATATACAGGCTTCTTATAATATAAATGTTGTTTGTAATACTGGATAACTGAAGAGGTTATAAATGTTATTTTATGGATCAATAAAAGTGAAGTCGTTTATTATGGTGATTCTTTTAGCACAGTTAGGACAACCCCATTCTTCCTCTCTACTTTCTCCTTAAAAAGCTAAATACCCAGATTCACTGAGTAAATGCCAGTCAGAACTTAAACATTACCAAAACAAAGGGTTGGGGGCAGGGATAGTAAGAAGCTGGAATGTGTTTACTGTGGGCAGTTAAACAAGGGAAAAGAATCCAGCAAGCAAGCAAGTAACAAGTATTATTATATATTAATTATATTATATTAATTATATTATATGCTGGGCATTGGAGACAAGTACAAAGAATGAAACAAGCTCTCTGAGAAAAAAGCTCACATTCTAACTGGGTAGAAAAGAATCTATAAAGATACATTTAACATAAAGTGAATATGTATGTATGTATATACACAAAGTAATTAAGTATAAAGTTATTCTGGAGGAAGAACTCTAATAGTTAGAGGGATCAGGAAAGGCTTTCACGAAGAAGATGAAGCTTCATCAGTTTCTTAAAGACAGGTAAGGAGAAAGTGCAACCAAGAATGTCGAAAAGGCACAGAAACTGGGAGATAAATGTGTCCTGTGTAAGGAACAGAAAGGACAGTTTGACTGGATCACAAACTGTGAATAAAAGAAAAATTTATTAATTGCTTAGTAAGTGCACAGCACTTTACTTAGTGTTGAGTACACATATAGAAAAATAAGACAGTCCCTGCTCTTAAGAAGCTCACATTCGCCTGGAGGAGACAGTTCATATGTAGGGAGAGGGTGTAATACCCAAAGAAGCTAATTAAGAGAGAGAAGGCACTAGTATTAAGAGAAGCTGGAAAAGACTTTCTCTAAGGTGGGATTTTAGATGGAACTTAAAAGAAGCCAGAGAAGCCAGTAGCTAGAGATGAGGAAGCAAAGCATTCTATTCTCTGGCTGGGTACAAACAGAGAAAATACCTAGATTTGAGAGGTCAGTATCTCATTCACAGAATATCAAGGAGGCCAGTGTCCCTGGATCAAAGATCGGGGAGGTGTAAGAAGACCGAAAAAGTAGTCGATGAGAGAGATAGTGAAAGTAGAAGAGGTAAGATTTGGACATGGGGGATGAGAAAGAGGAAAGCCATTCTGAGATTTGTGCATCCTTTCAAGTCCGGAATTTAACTTTATGCTACTGGACTAACATGTATGTCAAGAAACATTTTTTTCTATGTTAGTTGCTGGGTTGATAAAGAGACGGAAGCTGATTTTAAGGGGTTTAATTTGGAGAGACACGATACATGCACAAGAAAAATTTAAATCGTGTTATCACAAACTAGAGAACGTATGGAAATAGAGCATCAAATGTCACTTTTACAAAACAATAAAATTATTTTGACTGTAGCACAATGATAATAGGAATAATGAGAAATGAGACTGGAAAGGTGGGATAGGTGATTGTGGAAGACCTTTAATTTCACGCTTAGTTATTTAGACTTTATACTTCATGAACAAGAAGCTATTGAAGATTTTGAGAATGGAGGTGTGTACACGGAAGATTATTTAGGAAGATATGAGCGGGTGGAGACACAGGAGCCAGAGGGAAAAGTGAGGAGATCATTCAACAAATATTTATTCAGCACTTTCTGTGCCCAGAGTACTGGGTGAGCTATAACCTTCTTGGAGTTTATAGTCTAGTAAGGTAATGACACATCAACAATACCGAGGTTTTGGAGTTCATGGCTCCACCCTCTCATCAAATGGAGAGTGGTGAAGGGTGGAGTACCAAGGCTAATGGACTCTTACACGGTGATGATATTTAACCCAAAAATGAATTTCCTGGAGCATGGTGGAAAAGTCAGAGAAGGGCCATAGTGCAGTGAGGTGAGAAATAAAGAGATGTTCTGAACTGAGCGCCCTCCTTAAATGGAAGTTTTGGACTTCATGGCTCCGCCCTCTCATCAAACGGAGAGAGAGTGTTGAAAGGGGAAAGCACAACCGCTGGTGGGCTCTTAGAAGTTTAACCCAACAATGAACTTCCCGGGGTATGGGGAAAAGTCAGAGAAGTCTCAAGTAGGGCAGCCAGATGAAAAACGAGGACAGAGGAGGGCGAAACCATAGAGTGGAAGAGGGTCCTGGACTAACTGACTCTCTTAGGTGACTGGAAGAAGGGTGGTTGCACTGGATAAGAAGAAAGCAGACCCAGGGGCTGTTTGAAGCCCCTCTGACCATACTCACATTGCCCCTCTTTATAGACACACACCGCAGGGAGGACGAGCAGGGGCCTTCGAGAAAGGCCAGGGTGAGGGGGCACAACGGTCCTACTGCTTGGGCTCCCGCTATAGCTCAGCCGTCAGCGCTCTGCGTGCCACCGAGGAGACAAAACTAGGCTGCATTTCAGTAGCCTGGAGTGCGGGTGGGGGGGGGCCTCCATCGCCAGCTTTCTGGGTTCCCTACCTCTTTCCCTCCTGCCGCGTCACTCCCATCCACAGCGCCTCCGACACAGACCCCAAGCAACGGGAAGGACCTGGCTCTGGAGGCCACGGGATAAGGGGCTGGAGCCACGATGGGCGGTGGGTCACGTGACCCGCGCCCTGGCTGTGGCGCGCGTGACGCGTCGCTCACGTGGTGTGTCTCCGGCTCCGTCAGGCGGCGGAGGCGGGCGCGGGCGCGTCCCTGTGGCCAGTCACCCGCAGGAGTTGGTCGCACAATTATGAAAGACGCGGCTTCTGCTGCTGCTGCTTCTAGCGCCGGAGCCGAGTTAGTTCTGAGGAGGTGTCCCTGGGCTGTTCTTGTCCGGCGGCTTTTGCTGCCGCCTTCGGAGACGCTTCCCGATAGATGGCTGCAGGCCGCGGAGGAGGAGGAGGTGGAGTTGCTGCCCTTCCGGAGTCCGCCCCGTGAGGAGAATGGTACGGGACCCGCACAGGCCCCGCCGGGGCTGGAGGGGGGACCTGAGAGTGAATCGGTTCTGGGAACCGCCGAGGAGGGGAGGATCGGAGCGCCGAAGACCGAATAGCGGGGAGGGCCAGGGCGGGCCGGGGAAGCGGGACTTGGCCGCGGGAAGCCGCTGAGCTAAGCTGGAAGGCTGCGGTGCGAGCGGGACCGGTATTACCCGGAGCGCGTGGACCTCCTGGGCGGATACCGTAGCGCTCGAGCCCTGGAGGCAGCGGCGGCGGCGGCAGCAGTGGCGGCGCCGCGAGCCCCAGAGAAGCACCTGGCTGTAGGCTGAGCAACCCCGGCGCGACCCCACCCCCACCCCCGCCTTGAACCGCCGCATCCCTGGGGAGCGCGGCTGTGTGCCTCCCCCTCCCCCAGTGCCAGCTGCAAGCAGATGTGCGAGCCAAGCTCGGAACAGAGGCCGCGGGGGAAGGTACTAGGGAAGGAGGCAGAGAGACAGGGACGAAAAGGGACCGAGGGCATGGGGCTCGGAGAGGTACCTCTCTAACTGCGCAGTGGTGCTCGGCGCCTTTCCTTCTCAGGTAGTGTGGAGTTTTCCAGTGGTTATGACGATTTTTTTAAAAATGGTAGGTAGCTCTGGTTTCAGGTGTCGAGGTTACGGCAGAAGGGACCACAGGGTGATGATGAATGTTGCCAGGGTGAAGCTGAACCGCCTTATCCACTGCCCTAGAGGGCGAGTTGCGTTCTAAACAGAAAGTGCGGAGTGAGGGAATGGAGAGGGAGAAAGGTGCATTGCAGTAATCTGAGTGTAGTTTTTTGATGCCTGGCAGCAGGTGTGAAGAATTTCTTTGCGAGTAACTTGGGCCGGTGCATTCAAGTGTTGGTGGGTACTTATAAATATGTTTATTATGTTGCCATTAGCCATCGTAGAGTTCATATTTGTGTAGCTAGTAGTGCTTCTGCTGGAGTGCGGTCGTCCCACTTCTTGAACTTGAAGCTATTTTAAGTGCAGTAGAATCTTGTTTAAAAGGGACTTACTAAGCCGTGGATTTAGTTATACAAGAGTCCCCCTCCGCCTTTATACTCAGTCACGTTTCATTATTTCCCAGTTACCTTAATTTGGAAAGTAGTGGTCAACTTTTTTTTTTCTTCTTAATTGCATGAAATACGTGAATAAGGTTGACTAAAGAGGTTAAATTTTACATTGTGGATTTGTTACCACTCAGGAAGACTGGTTTGATCTCTCTCTACAAAATAGCATTAATTTTGTTTGATATAACCTTTATATTCTTCAGAACTCAGATATACATGTAGGTTTCCTTTTTTGAAGGAGGAATTTTGACTATTAAGAAACCGGAGTAAGAATTTGGCATTGATTCAGACTTCCATTCATCTTCCTGTAAAGGGGGCGGGGGGAAGCAAAAACCTTTCCTGATAGTAGGCTTTGCATTTTGCTGCAAAACCTATCTTATCGAAAAAGGTGTTCCAAATTCCAAAATTTTACAACTTGCCTCAATAAATTTTTTTTTCCTCTGATCATAGCAAGTTCATACTAGATTGCAAATCAATGGAAATTTATCCCTCAAAACTTTGGAACTAGTCCACTCCAAAACAGCCCCAATAATCTGCATTTACTTTTCTTCTTGAAACTTAATATATTCTCATCTTCATATTCACTTTTTAACATATTTATTTTTTTCTTTTGAATTGAGAGATGAAAAAGGGCGTTCGTATCTACTGGACTGAGCACTGATTCTTGTTGAGTACAATTTTTTCAATTTTTAAAAATCTTTTTAGTCTCTGGGAACTTTTTAAGAGTTCCTTAATGTATATTATGATTTTTAGAAAGGTCACCTGATTGTATCGTGAATATATATTGGAAATCATAGTTCCTATTTAAAAATTTTTGAGTTTAAAATGTATTATCCTTAAGAGCAATAGTCTTTACTTTAAAAATTTTTTAAATATATATAATTAGATTGGAATTAGATATGATTTTTAAAAGTTGATTTTTATCCATTTTTTTTCTCCTACTACTGGAAAATCTCTTTATTTTTGTTAATGAAAGTACATAAAAATTCTGACATTATTCTCCTCCCTCTCCTTAGCCAACTGGAATACACGTGATATAATTTTAAAATTAATGTTAATATTTTTTTCATCAGTCAAAAGGTAGTGATATGAAAGTTTAAATTTAAGTTTAGAAAATATACATACATATTCTAAATACACATATTTCCTTTAAAGAATGTGCATATATATTGTATATAGGTACAGCAATAAGAACTTGAAGCTTTAAACTTCAAGATTTTCCCTAATAAAAGAAGCTAATACATGTTTCCTCATCTTTTTTTTATTGATCTCCTTACCATCTTAGTAGATTTTACAGAGTCCCTTTAAAAAAAAAAATCTCCCCCTCGTTTCCTCTCTTGTTGGCCACTTCCCCCCCCAGACAAAAAATGAGAAGAGTTAGTTGATCATGGAGAGAACCTGTTATTATTTTTGCTTCTATCATTTACAGTGATTTGAATTTAATAAAATGTTTAATGTAGAGAATATTTTTAATTGATTTGCCCTTCATTAATTTTTGAACATGAGTTCAGTTTTGGTTTGAAATATTTTGCTTGGTTTTGAAAATCATTTTATGCCTCCATAGAATAATAATTGGGTTTATTTTTAAATTGTTTTGTTAAGTTATCTAATTCTTAAGAGATTTTGGAAACTATTTAAATAAATATTGATCTTTGGTAGTAGGAATCACTATGCTCTCTTGACATGGAAATTAATAAGCCTCGGTTCTTTACCTTGTTCAGCTATGGACTTTTCAAGTCACAATGCCTTTTTATTATTCTTATTGTTGACCATTTATAAAAATAAATATGCAGCACATTAATATTGTTCCTAATACCATGTAGAAACAATTTTAAAGAGCCTTGGATTTTCTTAACATCCTGTAAACCTATAAGCAGGTTATCTAACCCTTGTGAACTTTAGTTTCCTCCTTAGTAGAACAAGTATGGTAGTAATACATGTCCTGTTTACTCCAGGGTTGTTGTAGGTCTCAAAAAAATGTGTGTGTGGGACCACCTCCAATACCCTTTTAGGGAGTCCGTGTTGTCAAAACTATTTTTGTAATAATACTAAGATGCCATTTACCTATTAAAACAGTCTGCCCTTATTCGGCTACATAGCTTTCTTGAGACCTAGATTTTCTTGATATACTTCAATCAGAACAATTATCTGATCAGCAGATTGAATGGAGAAACAGATAGGAGAATCCAACTATCTTCTGTCAAGCCAGACATTAAAGAGATGTGCAAAAAATGTAAAATGGTGCCATTCTCACTAAATTTTGTTTTGGAAAATGTAGTTATTTTTCATGAAAATATTTATGTAATGGGTGTATAATTCTCTCTAGCTGTTCTCCATGCCTGGAACTCTCTCTCCCTCCTCTGCTACAACTACTGACCTCTCTCACTTTCCTTAAGTCCCTACTAAAATCTGACCTTCTGTAAGAAGCCTTCCCCAGGCCATCTTCTAGTGCCTTCTCTCTGTTAATTATTTTCTATTTATCATGTATATTGTTGCTTTATATATATTTGTATGAACATTTTCTCCTTTATTAGATTGTAAGCTACTTAAAAGCAAGGACTGCCTTTTGTTTCTTTTTGAATCCCTGGTATGGTGTCTGGTACGTTGTAGGTGCTTAATCAATGTTATTTTTAAATGAATTTAATAAATAAACTCAGTCTATCAGTTTTAATTTCTAATATAGTAAATATGGAGAGATGTAACCCATATAAACAAAAACTCTGGATTCCTCAGTAATTTTGGGGATTTATACAGGGGCCTTGAGACTAAAAACTTTGAGAATACTGTTGTAGGGAAAGCAAACAAATGTACACGTGAGCTTAAAAGAAGGCATAATAAAGTTTGGGAAGAGAAAGCCATTGAGTTTTTCTTTTATCCCCGTTACCATTAGTTTTTAACTTGAATTAATACTATTGAGAGGGAGGAAAGGAACAAACATTTGATAAGTTCTTCCTATTGGCTCTTAATTATTTCATTTGATCATTGAGAGCAACTAATACTAGAGAGAGCACTTCCATATCGAGGACAGCTGATGGACCTCTGGGTATGGAGTCAGGAAAATCTGGATTCAGATCCAGCCTCTCATACTGGAACATAACCGTCTGACCCTGGACAAGTTATTTAACCTTTGTCTGGTTTAGTTTCCTCAGCTGTAAAATGGGAATAATAATAACACCAACCTCCCAGGGTTGTTGTGAGGATCAAAGGAGACATTTGTTAAAAAGTGCTTAGTCCAGAGCCTGGAATGTAGTAGATGCTTATTAAATGCTTGTTCCTTTCCTCTTTCCTCTAAAATTGTCAAAGGGTCATAGATTTACACTAGAAAAGATCTTAGTGGCCTTTTAGTCCAGCCCCTTATTGCCGGAAGAGGTTATGTGATTTGCCCAAGATCACCCAAGGTAGGAAGGGAAATTTAAACTCAGGTTTTATGACGCTGTTTCAGTAATCTTTTCATTGAACCTTGATGATCGGCTAGATTAGTGTCGTCAAACTCAAATAGAAACAGGAGTCGTTAATCTGTACTCACAGATCCCTGTAGGCCACATGTTGACTTAGTTTTAAAATGTAATGTTATACCTTATTGTATTTTTGTGTATTTTGTTAAATATTTTCCAATTTC